GGTGGTCAGGCCTCTACATCAACTATGAAGTGGACTCCCCAAAAGGACATTGGTCCATCTGGCCCCCTAAGAAATGCTTACAACATTATTGATTGTATTCCTTAGACTATCTTTTTCTATCCCTGAGGCCATATTGCAATTACCAATTTGTATTATCTTTATTTTCTAGATAGTCTACAATTTTAGTTTTGTTTTACAGTTTGAAGTCAGGGTTTTTGTTTTCCTATTCTAATTTTATTGCATGTATAATACTCTTTACTATTTAGAATTTATTGATATTTTTCTTAATACCCCATGACATATCAGTTAAAACATTTCATAGGGTCTTGAAAAGAAGTATATTATTTATTTTCAGAGTATAGAATTTAACATGTATCAGTTAGATCTGGCTTATTAATTATGTAATTTATATCTCTTTTTTTCTTTTAAATCTACTTTTTTTTCTAATGTGCAGCAGCTGGTTCTTGTTAATCGTGGTAGTTCTGTAAATTCACTTAAGTACTAAATTAATGAACACTGAACATTTGCTTCTGTTACAGGAAATAAAAGAGGGGTCCTTGGCTTTATGTAGGAAAGAATTCAAATGTGAGCCGGTATAGAGTTTAAAGTAAAATTAAGTTTATGTAGCAGAGAGTAAGTAAGAAGAGAAGGGCCATCTCTCAGACAGAGAGGCGGTCTCTGATCACTAATGGAAGAGAGACCCCCTCCATCCCCGGGGCTAGAGTTTATATGTTTCCCGTTTCCGTGGAAAACTCATTGGTGTGGGGGGGAGGAGGACAGAAGAACAAGGGTGAGTTTATCTCTAACTTCAGTAAGATGCTAGAAGAATAGGGGCAGGTTGGTTTTTAACTCTTGTAAAGCACAACCTGTGTTTAATTTGCTATGGACTTAACTGCAGGAATGGTCCTAATGGAATCTCTCATTGGGGAATGATTGCTCTGTGTCAGTGTAGGAAAGATTACTCTGTGTCATTGATGCCCATCGGCCTGAGTTCTGTGTCTTGGAGCATGTAGGCAGTAGGCTCAGAATCCAACCTCTTGGTTCCTTCTTCTGCACAAATAGTCCTTATGCCCTTTCCCTATATTACTTCTAGGAGAAATACAGGATTACCTTCCTGCCATCCATAGTTTACAACATTTTCGCCAACTGATCAATATATATAACTTTTCCCATGTGTGTTTCTGTTAAAAGACACCTTATTTAATATACATTCTTGATTTGTTAACATTGAATTCATGGCCAATAGCCCTATAACTCATTCCTGAATGAAGCTTATCTGACACGTCTATTTCCTCTAAGGCACATCCCAGTCTTCAGGGGCCATTTAAAATGTAAAATCAACCAAAAGCACGAAATTGTGAAAAATGTGACACTGAATATGCTATGAAAAGGACACATTTAAAGTACAAGAGCCAAAACACGAAGGCTGAGTTTCACATTGTTTGACCTCACCTGTGTACGTGTGTGTCAGGCGACTCAGAATTTTTACCACTTTGTGCATGTCCATAAATGACCATGAAAGTATCAGGAGTGTTGTTTTCGGGTTACAAATAAATTTTGGCAAGTAGGTGAATTTGCAAATATGGAATCCAATAATGAGGAGTGACTATATTTCATTTGCGACAAGAAAGATGAATCAAAATCTTTTTCTACTATTTTAAAGTATTTTTTGTTGTATTCCCTAAAGTTTTTTTCTTCTTGCATTGTAATGTGAGCCCTTCATGTACTGGTATAGGTGTATTTAATTGCAGCTCAGATCAGCATTATGAAGCTGGATTACTTCCCACCTCCCACCACCCACTCCACTCCTATTTCTATTCTACCCTGCCTGCATTGTTCTCATCTCCTCATTTAGCCCTGTCTCTCTTTATTTCATGGCATCACAGAGAACTTAGAAATGCTCTGGCTGCCTCTGCTTAGACCTAGAATTTATCATTTCAAGCAAGGACTGTTGTCATAGCCTCTTGCTGTGTACTGGGGGTGCCAAAAAAATGTATACACATGGCTTGTATTCATCTTTTGTTATCAGTATATATTGAGTATTATAATTTTAATACAATTTTTTCCTTTCTTAAAATGTGTGTACATTTTTTTTTTGATCCCTCTGTAGATCAATTTTGGAGAGCTCTACACTGTCTGAAACTCTTTCCCCACTTCTCCCTTAGCCAGGTCAAATATTCACCATACCCATGAATTCTTCATAGATTTTGTGTTTTGATGTTAGAACTATTTTCCAGTTTAATTGAAAATGTATTGTGTTTTATTTTTGTTCTCCATGTTACATTTTGATTGGTTTAAGGGAAGGGATCAGGGCAGCACTACTTTTATAGTCTATTTTTAATCATTTCACAGTTAATCAGAACATTTTGTTAAGTCTCAAACATGTCTTTTCTAGTCAGTTTCTTATCAAAATAAAATTTGTGGCATATTCTTGGTCCTAAGGTTTTTATTCTTTTTCCAGGCCTTCAATAGCTATATTTTACTTCATTCTTTTTATCTTATATTTATAAGTGATTATTGCTCATGTTTTTCTGATTATAAAAGTAATAATTTATTTTTAAAAAGTATGGTGTAGAAAATTTGTAATATTCAAGAATAAAGAAAAAACATAAAGCACTAAAATTTCATCACCCAGAAAAAACAGCTATTTTTGTGTAAGTTTTTTTCTGGTTATTTATTAAGAGCCTGTTGTACAAAGTAGTTCAAATGGTGCCAGTCTCTTACAGATGGTGGTGTTAAATTAGGGGCAGTAGCCAACATTCCTCCCAGTTCTGAAAGTTCTGATTCTGTGAAATTTTATCTTTCTTGGTGAACCTTTTCAAAAGGTCTCATTTTCCAGGTAGTATTGTAAATTGATTTGACAAATTATAGGCATTGAATTTGACTGATGGGGGAGTGGGGTCCTCCTGTTTTACTTTTTTATAGCATGATTAGTGAAAAATAATATAGTTTGACAGTATTAAATGTTCACCTGAATGACCAGACTCATGACATTTAGGATGTTGCTTTATCTACTCATGTGTACTTTTTCCTCTATCTCTCTCAGGCCATGACTAGGGCCAGAGCCCTCAGATCACAGACGGAGGACTCTGCTTCCGCCTTTAGTGCTGATGACCTTATGAGCATAGATATGGCAGAACAGATGGCTGAAAACTCTGATGATAGCATCCCAGAAGCATCCAACAAAGGAAGAGGTCGAGGAAGAGGCCGGAGAGGAGGAAGAGGGCAGAATTCAGTGTCCAGAGGAGGGTCTCAGAGAGGAAGAGGTTAGCTCTGAGTCCAATCTTTTGCATACATTCAGACTTGGCCATTGAGTGGGAAATACAGAATTGTCCTTTAAAATGTATTTTTATAATGCATAAAGTCAGTCTTTAATGTAGTTCTGACATGTACATTTTACTTAAGTAAATTTTGAGTGGCCGCATGCACATAGGGTTTAATTACTCTTAACATTTATTTTTCACACAGTACCTTTTGGGTGCATTTAATGTCTTATTTACTCTTACATGTACAAAATAATAGTGAGGCAAGTATGAGCTGTTAAGGAAAATGGCTAGCTAATGGCAGCAGGCAGAAAACTCCAGATCATAAAAAGTATTGTTCTTATTGCTGTCATAAGATACAGATGCCCATGTTTTTATAAAGTGGCTTCATAAAATTTGTTTAAAAGGAAAAACCACCCCAAAATAATTGGATTTCTTAAAGCAATTATTAACATTAATTTTCATCATTGTTTAATGTTACACTGTTATCATTGAATAGTTCAAACAATAGAAAATAGTCATCCAGTGACTTCCTGGTGCATCTATAAGTCCATCCCTAGGAATATTTTTAAATTATTTTTATTAAATATTTTTCCATCGGAATTTTAGGCTGGTAAAATGGATAGTACCTTAGTTAAAAATCTCCAGGGAGAGAAATCATCCTCTTCTAGTGATAATTATTTTCATTATCCTTACAGTTATAAAATATTTCCTTAAATTTTAATTGGAACAGTATGAACCAAATGTGGCCTAAGTATAGTCTCTGAAAATTGTTTGATCAGACTCTAGATGTTTCTTTTTATGTATATCTTTGGCTTTTTACACATAAACTATGTTTTGCCATAACTTTATTTAGATCTCATTTTGGTGTGTTTTAAAAAACCTTAGCTGTTGATGGACTTGTGTATTGACTGCTCATTATTCTGACAGCACGCACTGGTCTGGAGACATCTACTCGAAGCAGAAGTTCAAAGGCCACTATGTCAACATCTAGAAATATGTCTATTGTAGACGGTGAGTATAGACTGCAAATGATTATCTAGCAGTTATTGGTAAATTCCGACAAAGCAAGAAAGATCTAGAAAGCCCAATTAGTAAACCTCATTGGTTTGTGTTGCCATCAATAGGGAGTCAAAAAGGTTCTTAGAATCACAGCATAAATTATACTCATTTAAAAGATATTCGCCATTCATTGGAACTCTTGGAAAGGGTGAGCTTTAAAGATTAATTTTTATAATTCCTTACTTTCATACAAATTTGATTATTTCCCTTTTATAGAGGGCTCACTAAGACAGAAAAGGCGATTGGTCAGTATATCAACACTGATCAAGAGAGAAAGAACTGCTTCTTCATGTAGTGTTTGCTTTCTTTCCTCATGCTGCTTTTGTCTCTGTTGTTAGTATAAAAAAGTCATGTGATCTGTATCTAAGGGAAAGTATGGTTAGGGTTCTTTGAATTAATTTCATGTATGTGTTGTGGTCTAAAAATTATCCTCAAACAAAGGGGACCTATTTTTATAAACTATTTTTAATAAAATTTAATATAAAATTTTAATAGACTATTTTAAATAGTATGGTTTATGAAATCTGCCAAAGTTGTAGTCAGATTTATGAAAATACATGTTAAAATAGGTGATTTTTTTTCTATCTAGTATTCAGAGTATATCCATATATATGTATTTTATATCTAGGATTAATTTTTGACAGATTGAGGAGTTGGACTAAATTTCACAAGGTGAAATTTATCAAGGGTACATATAAAATGTATTTACATCCCAAAAGTCAGCTGCACAAAAAGAGTTCTGAGAGCTATGTGACATTAGCAGCCACCCAAGTGAAAAAGACTTAGGTTAGTAAGTTGTGCAGGTTGACCTACGTCAACCTAATGGCGTCTTCAGCATTAATCATAGAAGCTGTGCATCTCTACAACAAGGAAGTTCTCCCTCTGTCCTGAATTGGATGCATCATGCCAAGAATACTGTGCTCGTCTTTGGAACTATTTCGAGAAGGATATCAGCTATATAGAATCATTCAGAAGAGAAACCATATAATATAAAAAATGGTAGAAAGAACTTGGACTGTCTGACCTGGGAGAAATTCAGGTCTTTACATAAATTTAAGTTCTATCATGTGAAAGATCGCATAGATTTGATTTGTATAGTCGTAGAATGGGTGGTTTTAAATCTATTTTGAGTTATGGATTCTTAAGAATCTACTGAAAGCTATGTCTCCTCATTAAATAAGTACTCCTATGCAATTGTACTCAATTGCAAAGGGCACAAGGACTCCCATGAAGTCCATCCATGGGTTCCAGATTAATCACTACTAGCCCGATGAAGATAGCTGGGAAAAGCTAGAACCATTCAGATATTTAAGTTTATTATTTGATAAAATGGACCTGGAAGACTTCACCTATTCCCTCATTTATAGATGAGGGACTCGAACTAAGCAAATTGCCCTAGGTTGATAAAACCACTACTAGTACTAATAATAGTTAATATTTACAAAACAGTTACTGCATGCTGCTTAGCAGCTCCATGGCATGGGTACTTAAGTTATCCCTGTTTTACAGAAAAGAGAACTGAGGCTTTGAAAAGATAGGCAACTTACCCAAGGTGTTACAACTAGTAAATTCTAGAGCCCAGATTCATCCCACAGTTTTTAGACTTCACAAGCAGCAGTTTAGTGTACCAGTTTCCAGAGCAAGATAACATTAGAGACTTAGCTACTGGTTCTTAGTGAAGAGTCTTTATCATACAGAATAACCTATCAATATAAAGATGGAAGAGGCTGCCCCAGAAGGAGGTAAAGTGTGACTCCATCAAAGGAAGTTTTCAACATTTATTGGCAGACAATTGACATTGGAGAAAGGATATAAACAACAGATCCATTAAATAACTGTTAAGGAATCTTCCTATCAAAGATTCTGTTGCTGTATTTTTACTCAAGGATTATTCACTACTGAAAGAGAGGCAGGCAGCTGAGTTCCTGATCTTTTGACTTCAGAAGCATAATGTCTTTGTAGCCATTTAGGAAATGGCACCCAGAAAGGTGCTGTTCCATTCTTGGCAGGTCTAAGATGAAAACAGAGAAGGACAAAGAAAGAGACAAAAGACAGCATGGTAAACATCGAGGCTGAGTTCACCGCATAAAAGCCTTGTGATTTTGGACAGATCACTTACTCGCCTGGTTTGTTTACATGTACATTGGGAATAATAATCCCTGCCATACTGGGTATTCTGCAGAGTAAAAGCAAAAAGCCTGGCACATAGTAGGCATTTATGAACTGTTATTGCTATTATAAGAAAAGAGAAAACAGAGGGAGTTAGAAAAGTGGAATCAACAAAATATGAACAGTTCCATGTTAAACCACCAAAAATTGGTTAGCATGTAACACAGAGGCATAGATATTATAAGTTACCTGCCTTTGCCTTACCACAAACTGACTTTTTTTTTTTTAAAGATTTTTTTATTGGGGGGAATTGAAGGAGGGGAACAGCACTGGGGAATCGGGGGAAGGGGAACAGACAAGTTGCTGTCCTTTTGTTCTTCAGTCTAGTTGTGGAGGACGTTGCTTCACTGGCCCATGTTGGTATTATTATTGCGCTCTTCCCTAGTGAGGCAGATCAGTCGCCGGCCTCTGGACGGCAGCTCTTGGCAGCTCCCGCTGGCTGCCAGCCGCACATGGTTGCTTATGGCAGCCCACTGCAGCAGGGCCTGCAGCCTATGCTGTTGCCTGCGACTTATGGCAGCCCAGCTCCAGGTCGAGCTGTTGTTCACCATCTTAGCTGTAGAGGGCAGTGTCACTGGCCCTCGTGTGGGATCTGAACTGGACCCCTGCTTCTCAGAGCTGGCGTCCCAAGCCAACTCTTAATGCATCACTCAGCCGGCCCCAAACTGCCTTTTTTTAAATCATGGTTTAATTGTTTTATGTGAAGTTTTTCTTGACACCACTGGGTAGAATTATTTAAAGTGTGTCTTCGGGTTTCTATTGTCGTTAAGAAATAAGTTAACCTTGTTGTTGTTTTAAGTAGTTTATTTTTCCTCCGTCTTTGGTGTTCTGTAGTCTCACTATGATGAATCTAGGTATGGGATTCTTTTTTATCTTGCTTAGGATTTATTGGGTTTTATGAACTGTGAATTGGTGTGTTTCACCATTTCTAGAAAATCCTTAGCTGTTATCCCTTTAGATATTACCTCTATACTATTCTTTTTTATCCTCCTTTCTGGGTCTTTAGTTAAATAAATGTCTGACCTTTTAGCTCTGTCTTCCTATGACTCTTAACCTCTTATATTTTCTGTTTTATTCCCCAGTGCTACGTGCTGAGTAATTATTTCTAATCAGTCTTCCAGTTAACTCATCTATTCTTAAAACTGTCCATTGAATTTTTAATTTTCTTTTTCTGGGGGGAGGGAGAGTTGAAATTCTTTCTGTTTCTTTTTAAATATGCTATGTCACTTTTAATAGTTTTTAAAATTATCTACAGATATTTTTAAACCTGTTTTTAACTTCTTGTAAGTACATAGTAAGGATTTTTTTTTTAATTTTGTGTCTAATAACCCAGTACCTGAATGTCTTTGGCCTTTTTCTGTTGTCTGTTTCTGATTGCTCTTTCTCTTGGTTCTCATTTATGGTGACTTGTTTTTTTTGCATGCTTTGTCATCTATTGTCTCCCAAAGAAGTTATCAGTAGGAATAATTTAAGATCTTGGGTGAAAATGTCTTCCTCCAGAGAAGATCCATATTTGTTTTTCCAGGCTTTTAGGGACACCACAAGTCTTACTAGGCCACTTTACATGTAAATGTATGCCTTGAGAACCAGTCAGGTGATATGTACTTGTAGAGTACTGTTTATGTCTGCTTCTCTCTTTAACCCCTGGGGTCCCAGCATAAGGAAGGGTGGACATGCATTGGGCCCCCCTCCTTGGGCAGGCCTCAAATGGTGGTGGCTGTCTCCCTCTTCCTACAGGACTTTGTCCAAACCAGTGTTAACATTTCCCCAGAGCAGCAGGGTTCCTCATGGAGAAGGATTCAGCTATACTAGCCTCTCTGAGTTCTAGCTTTTCTTCAGTTTCAGCCTGTTAATTCCTTACTATGTGATCAGCTCTTCAGTGCCATTAAGATTTTTTTTAAATGTTTGATGTAGTAATTTGGGTTGTTTTCAGCAGAAGTTTATCTGAATAATGTAGCCATAATGAACAGGTACAGAGGGTTTTTTTTCTTTATTTTCTTTATTTAAAACTCATCTGTGGCTGCCACCTTTGCAGCTAGAACTCTGTCTCATAGGGGTTTTGTGAGCATTTTTTTTTTTTGCTTTCTAACATCAGCTACTTTCAGAACCACTATGCCAGTGAGACTTTCAAAGACATTCTTTAATGAGTCATGCTGTGTTACCCATTGATAATGTGGAATAAAGCTTCTATTTGTGTGGAGAAAGCAATAGACCAGTTAGAATAAATAGTGCTTTAAAATGTTTACAAATTGGGCCGGCCGAGTAGCACGATGGTTAAGAGCTGGCTTGGGATGCCACATATGAGGGCCAGTGACACTGTCCTCTACAGCTAAGATGCTGAACAACAGCTCAACCTGGAGCTGGGGCGTAGGCTCCAGCCCCTGTGGCAGTGGGTTGCCATGGGCTAGAAGCCGGCGACTGATCTGCCTCGCCCGGGAAGAGCGCAATGATGGTGCCAACTTGGGCCAGTGAAGCAACATCCTCCACAACTAGACTGAAGA